AATCACTACCAAATATCACGATGTATGGTGAGACATATAGATATATAGAAGATAAGAAGACGTTCACTACAGTTGCCAAAGACCTTTTACTGAAAAAATATTAGACATTTGAACCGAGAGAGACTGATTTGTACATTTACCAAGCCAAAATTAATAGCTATTCAACCTCTTTACCTCAGTTTTCAAATTTTTGAGAGTGCTGAAAGTAAATTGTATGATTTTTGGTACAAAGTGTTAAAACAGCATTATGGAGATGATGTAAGAGTATTGTACACAAACACTGATTCGTGTAAAATACAAGGATTTATATGGCACGTCACTGGTAGGATACATGGACTTCTCATATTTCCCTAGTGACCCTCCATGATGTGATGACAGCAGGAAAAGTGAACTGGGATTACTGAAATCTGAAATGGGAGATTGAAATATTAGTGAGCTAGTAGCTCTGAAAGCAGATGTATTCTGTAAATGTAGCTGGAATAACAAATAATATCAGCAGAGGGAAGGGCATACCCTCTCATATCATGCCATTGTTAACTTACGCACGGTATAAAAATGTTTTGACTAAAGCTGATAAGAAACTATTTGAATGTAAGTCTATCAGCAATGTAAAAGGATTGATATATGTACAATAAAGATTAAAATGAGAGGCCTTTTGGCCTTTGATAATAAAAGGTTTCTCTTGGACAGCACTCATTCCATGGCATTTGGACATCGTGACATGACCGCATCTAGACGGAGGAGACTAACCTACAATGTTACCCCTGTGATGTACATTAAAATTGTAATTCTTGTTTGATATGAAAAATGTATGGCAGTTTTTTATTTTGTTGTATTGTATAACATTGTTTTATGTATAATATTAAATTATATATAACTTTGTATTTGGTATAAAATTGTAGGTATAAAATTGTGATAAGTATAACATTGCATTATGCATAAATAGAATTAAATATGAACTGAATGTAGCTAAATAATACATATGTATTTAGCCGCAAGAAGTGGGAAATTTTGGACTATCCTGGGTTATCTAATTATCAGTAAATACTGAATCCAGGAGCTGAAATACACTATGTGACCCAAGAGCTGCAAAAAATTGTGTTATCCCCGGAACATAATACCATTCGGTAGTTAGGCATACAGAGCATTAGGAGCAATAGATCGATCAGGGGATTAACTATGGGATCAAGAGTTGTAGGTCTGAGGCCCTGGAGCTATAATACACTGAGATATACCTTATAAGGGAAACCGTGTCTCTTATAAGGGACATAATGACTAAATTTGCTTACACTACAAGCAACTCTATGGAAGTCACACTCCACACTTCATTTACTCATGCGAATTTCATAATGAAAGAAAATTGATCCTAGGAATTGGAGCAAGGGGGATTACTATGCCATAGCACGAAAAAAAATAAAAAATAAAAATAAAAATTGAAAAAATAAAAAAAAATTGAAAAAAAATGAAAAAATAAAAAAAAATTGAAAAAAAAAAATTGAAAAAATTCGAAAAAAATCGAAAAATTTGGAGACCTCCAAAAACTCGATCCGAGGAACTGCAGCAGGGAAACAAATACTAGTGTAAAAAGGGGGTGGAGACCACACCGAGGGTCTTAGAGCTCAGCTCTACATAGCACCCTGGCACCGACAGCTCTGGCATATTGACCACTACTTTATCATCTATCACCATTGTACTATCATAGCACCATCTATCACCATGATACCATCCATCACCATGGTATCATCTATCATAGCACCATGTATCACCATGGTACCATCTATCATATCACCATTAATCGCCATGATACCATCAATCACCATGGAACCATCTGTTACCATGGTACCATTTGTCACTATGGTACCATCTATCACCATGGTACCATCTATCACCATGGTACCATCTATCACTATGGTACCATCTATCACCATGGTACTATCTATCACCATGGTACCATCTATCACCATTGCAACATCTATTACTATGGTACCATCTATCACTGTGGTACCATCATCATCATAGCACCATCTATCACCATGATACCATCTATCATCATTGTACCCTCTATCACCGCAGTACTATCTATCACCATGGTACCATCTATCATAGCACCATGTATCACCATGGTACCATCTATCATATCACAATTTATCACCATGATACCATCTTTAACCATGGAACCATCTGTTACCATGGTACCATTTGTCACTATGGTACTATCTATCACCATGGTACCATCTATCATCATGCCACCATCTATCACTATGGTAACATCTATCAGCATGGTGCTATCTATCACCATGTTACCATATGTCACCATGGCAACATCTATTACTATGGTACCATCTATCACCCCAGTACCATCTATAACCATGATATCTGTCACCATGGTATCATCTATCACTATGGTATCATCATCATCATAGCACCATCTATCACCATGGTACCATCTATCACCGCAGTACCATCTATCACCATAATATCTGTCACCATGGCACCATCTATCACTATGGTACCATCATCATCATAGCACCATCTATCACCATGGTAAAATCTATCACTATGGTACCATCATCATCATAGCACCATCTATCACTATGGTACTATCATCATCATAGCACCATCTATCACCATGGTACCATCTATCACCTCACCAGGAGTAACAAAATTTCACTGTTGTCGTGTTCCTGGGAAATAAGCATCATTTCCCATTTCTTTATAACTAAACAAAATATAAAAATAAGTTTTGATCCAGAACTTTGCTTTTGTGGTCAGGACACTTCTGGAACACTTTCAAGAAAAACTGATGTAAAACTATTATGTTCTAGGGCTTTGCTTGGCATATATAAAAACAGGGACTCACAAACTAGCATTCAGTTCAGCTCTGGCTGCCTGAGAAGACACATCAGAAGTGAAATGGCATCAAGAGGCTGCAATCATTTTCCAGATGTATTCTGCTACATATGTGGTCAATTCATTAAGACAAGAGCAAAGAAGTTCTCTGTAACAGCATCTAAAAAAATGTGTGATGCTTACTAAGCATATTTTGTCATGTCAGTTGTGGACCAAGACAAGACCTGTGCGCCTCATGTTGCTTGTCAACATTGTAAGAAAACATTGGAAGATAAGAAAGTCATTACTTATATGAAGGGTAAAATCTTGAATAGGAGCATTTTTCAAATGAAATGTAACAGAAACTAATTCTTTTGTTCTTTTACAGAACGGTATAGAGGAAAAAAAAAAGAGCCATGAACTTTGCTGTTCCTAGAATATGGTGTGAACCCACTGATCACTCAACCAACTGCTACTTCTGCCTAATGGATCCTTACAAACACCGAACTGGGAAAAATGCTCCTGCTATTTCTTATCCAGATCTTCCCTCTTCTACTGCACCAGTACCACACAGTGCTGATCTTCCTGTACCTACACCTCCAGAAAGAAGTCAAACATCAGAGGAAGAGAGCAGAAAATCAGAAAATGAAGAGCACATTGAACAAGAGTATGATGTCACAGATGCAGTTGTTGGGAGGAATCCTTAGTACCCAAATCTAACAATCCTCAATGCCCTTATCATAGATCTTGGTTTGACAAAGTCAAATGCTGAGCTTTTAATTTCAAGACTCAAGGAGTGAGACTTGGTGGATGAAAGTGTGCAAGTGACAAGCCAAAGAAAACGTCACCAACATTTCTCAAGCTTCTTCACTAATGAAGACAGGTTGTGATACTGTAATGATGTATCAGGCCTGTTTAATGCAACTGGAATTGCATGCAGTGCAGATGAATGGAGACTCTTCATTGACAGCTCCTCCAAAAGACTAAAAGCTGTACTTCTGAACAATGGGAACAAGTATCCATCTCTTCCCTTGGCTTATTCAGTGTATCTTAAGGAGGACTACAAAGGTGTCAAACTTCTACTGGAAGCTTTGAACTGTGATAAGTATGGCTGGGAGGTTATTGGAGACTTCAAAATGGCAGCATTTTTTGATGGGACTCCAAGGAGGTTTTACCAAGTATCCCTGTTATCTCTGTCACTGGGATAGTAGAGACAGAGCAGCACATTACCAGAGGAAGCACTGGCCTCAAAGGACTGAGTTCTCAGTAGGAAGACATAACATCAAACATAAACCATTGGTGGCTACTCAGAAGGTTCTGTTCCCTCCATTATACATCAAACTAGGACTAATGAAACAGATTGTTACAGTTCTTGACAAAGAGTCTGCAGCCTTCAAGTATCTTCAAGACTTTTTTACCCAAGCTATCAGAGATAGAGGTGAAGACTGACACCTTCATTGGGCCACAAGTCAGGAAAATCATGGAGTGCTCAGAATTTCCGAAGAAGCTCAAAGAGAAGGAAAAGGAAGCCTGGGAGAGTTTTGTTGTTGTAGCACAAGGCTTTCTGAGCAACAACAAGGCTGACAATTATGTGGACTTGTTGAGACCTTGGTAAAAGCTATGATCAGATGGACTGTAGGATGTCCCTTAAGGTCCGTATCCTTGAATTTCATCTTGAAAATTTCAAGGAGAATATGGGAACATACTCAGAGGAGCAAGGGGAGCGCTTCCACCAAGATATAATGAACTTTGAACACAGATATCATGGATCTTATAATGAAAACATGATGGCAGACTACATTTGGGGACTTAAACTGAAAAGTGATTTGTTGTTGCTCACAAATATAACAAAACTGTTCATTTTTGTCTTTGTAAATATGTTTCAGAAAATTTAAAATTAAAATTTGTGTAAATCATATTTAATTTACGTACATTTTATTTATTTTATTACATGCTTTTGTTTTACATCCAAAACTAGCAAAAAATATTGAAATTTAGCCATTTTTTGTCAAAAATTCAACCTGTAAGCCACAAAAGTAAAGTTTAAAAGGAATAATGAGCATTTTCTATTGTTTTGCAATAAAAGGAGTTGGAAAATAGCACTTACTTACCAGGAACAAAAATTGTGTTACATAGTTTAATCTAACGTGGTCTCCTGTGGCGTCTTGCAGAGGCCGCTGGTGGCCCCGTTCCGGGAGGTGGGTGGCGTGGGCCACCTGTGTGAGGTCCACCTTCAAGGTCCACGGACAAACTGCTGCCGGTCCTGGCTCTCCAAGTTCCCCACCAGGAGTAAACGCATTGATGTGGTTGCTCGCATCACCTTTCCCCTAGTTTTTGCTCTCTTTAATGTCGCCTACTGGAGCGCTTACCTCTTCCGTGAGGAGGAGAAGCAACTGTAGGTGCTGGGCGGCTGGCTGGGTGGTTGGTTAGATGGCTGGCTGGGTGGATGGCTGGGTTCCTGGCTGGGTGTCTGGGCGGCTTGGCAGTTAGTTAGTGTTAGTTGGCTGCGGTGTTGGGTGGCTGGCTGGGTGCCTTGGGCGGCTTTGTAGTTAGTGGAGGCTGGTTGCGGTATTGGGTGTCTGGGCGGCTGGCTGGGTGGCTAGGATTCTTGGTGGTTGGTTCTTGGATAATTGAAAGCAGTGATTGGCTGTGTTGTTGGATGGCTGATTGGCTGTTGTTGGATGGCTAATTGGCTATTATTGGATGGCTGACTGGCTGTAGTTGGGCGGCAGATTGGCTGTTGATAAGTGACTGACCGGCTGTTGTTGGGTGGCTGACTGGTTGCGTTGTTGGGTGGCTAACTGGCTGTTGTTGGGTGGTTGACTGGCTGTTGTTGGGTGGCTAACGAGCTGTGTTGTTGGGACTAACTGACTGTTGTTAGATGGCTGACTGGCTGTTGTTGGGTGGCTGACTGGCTGTTGTTGGGTGGCTGACTGACTGTGTTTTTGAGAGGCTGACTGGCTGTTATTAGGTGGCTGATTAGCTGTGTTGTTGGATGGTTGACTGGCTGTGTTGCTAGGTGGCTGACTGACTGTGTTGTTGGGTGGCTGACTGGCTGTGTTGCTAGGTGGCTGACTGGCTGTGTTGTTGGGTGGCTGATTGGCTGTGTTGTTGGGTGGCTGACTGGCTGTGTTGTTGGGTGGCTGACTGGCTGTGTTGCTAGGTGGCTGACTGGCTGTGTTGTTGGGTGGCTGACTGGCTGTGTTGTTGCGTGGCTGACTGGCTGTGTTGTTGGGTTTCTGACTGGCTGTGTTGCTAGGTGGCTGACTGGCTGTGTTGTTGGGTGGCTGACTGGCTGTGTTGTTGGGTTGCTGACTGGCTGTGTTGTTGGGCTTCTGACTGGCTGTTGTTGGTTGGCTGACAGGGTGGCTAGCTGAATTACTGTGATAATGGGTTGCACAACCATAACTACCACCATCATTACCACCCACCACTGCTACTACCACCACCACTACTACCAACAAGCAACCACTACCACCACCACCACCACCACAATCACCGCCATTACCACCCACCACCACCACTACCACCACCACACCACCACCTCCACCACCACCACTATCACCACCACCACCACCAACATCACCACCACCATCACCACCACCATCACCTCCACCATCACCACCAACATCACCACCACCATCACCACTAACATCACCACCAACATAACCACCAACATCACCACCAAACTCACTACCATCGCCATCACCACAACCACTATCACCACAACCAGTATCACAACCACCACCACCACCGTCACCATTATCACCATCATCACCACCACCACCATTACCTCAGACACCACCAAAATCACCGTTACCACCATCACCACTACCACCATCACAATTACCACCATCACCATTACCATCATCGCCATCACCATCAAAATCACAACTACCACCACTATCACCACCACCTTCAAGAAGCTGGCAACACCACCTTGAAGATGCTGGCCACACCACCTTGAAGATGCTGGCCACACCACCTTGAAGATGCTGGCCACACCACCTTGAAGATGCTGACCACACCACCTTGAAGATGCTGACCACACCACCTTGAAGATGCTGGCCACACCACCTTGAAGATGCTGGCCACACCACCTTGAAGAAGCTGGCAACACCACCTTGAAGATGCTGGCCACACCACCTTGAAGATGCTGGCCACACCACCTTGAAGATGCTGGCCACACCACCTTGAAGATGTTGGCCACACCACCTTGAAGATGCTGACCACACCACCTTGAAGATGCTGGCCACACCACCTTGAAGATGCTGGCCACACCACCTTGAAGATGCTGACCACACCACCTTGAAGATGCTGACCACACCACCTTGAAGATGCTGGCCACACCACCTTGAAGATGTTGGCCACACCACTTTGAAGATGCTGGGAACACCACCTTGAAGATGCTGGCCACACCATCTTGAAGATGCTGGCCACACCACCTTGAAAATGCTGGCCACACCACCTTGAAGATATTGGCCACACCTTGAAGATGCTGGCCACACCACCTTGAAGATGCTGGCCACACCACCTTGAAGATGCTGGGAACACCACCTTGAAGATGCTGGCCACACCAACTTGAAAATGCTGGCCAAACCAACTTGAAGATGCTGGCCACACCACCTTGAAAATGATGGCCACACTACTTTGAAGATGCTGGTCACACCTACTTGAAGATGCTGGCCACACCACCTTGAAGATGCTGGCCACACCAACTTGGAGATGCTGGCCACACCAACTTGAAGATGCTGACCACACCAACTTGAAGATGCTGGCCACACCACTTTGAAGATACTGGCCACACCACCTTGAAGATGCTGACCACACCACCTTGAAGACGCTGGCCACACCAACTTGAAGATGCTGGCCACACCACCTTGAAGATGCTGGCCACACCAACGTGGAGATGCTGGCCACACCAACTTGAAGATGCTGACCACACCAACTTGAAGATGCTGGCCACACCACCTTGAAGATGCTGGCCACACCACCTTGGAGATGCTGGCCGCACCACCTTGAAGATGATGGCCACACCACTTTGAAGATACTGGCCACACCACCTTGAAGATGCTGACCACACCACCTTGAAGACGCTGGCCACACCAACTTGAAGATGCTGGCCACACCACCTTGAAGATGCTGGCCACACCACCTTGAAGATGCTAACCACACAACCTTGAAGATGCTGGCCACAAAAACTTGAAGATGCTGGCCACACCACCTTGGAGATGCTGGCCACAGCACCTTGAAGACGATGGCCACACCACCTTGGAGATGCTGTCCACACCACCTTGAAGATGATGGCCACACCAACTTGAAGACGCTGGCCACACCACCTTGAAGATGATGGCCACACCACCTTGGAGATGCTGGCCACACCACCTTGAAGATGATGGCCACACAACTTTGAAGGCACTGGCCACAAAACCTTGAAGATGCTGAACACACCACCTTGAAGATGCTGGCCACACCACCTTGGAGATGCTGGCCACACCACCTTGAAGATGCTGGCCATACCAACTTGAAGATGCTGGCCACACCAACTTGAAGATGCTGGCCACACCACCTTGAAGATGCTAACCACACCACCTTGAAGATGCTGGCCTCACCAACTTGAAGATGCTGGCCACACCACCTTGGAGCTGCTGGCCACACCACCTTGGTGATGCTGGCCACACCATCTTGAAGATGCTGGCCACACAAACCTTGGAGATGCTGGCCACACCAACTTGAAGATGCTGGCCACACAAACCTTGAAGATGCTGGCCAAACCAACTTGAAGATACTGGCCACACCACCTTGGAGATGCTGGCCACACCACCTTGGAGATGCTGGCCACACAAGACTCTTAAGAATACTACCACAGAACACTCAAGACGCTGGCCACACAAACACTCAAGACACTGACCACACAACACTCAAGACAGTGGCCACACAACACTGAAGACACTGGCCACACAACACTCAAGACACTGGCCACACAACACTCAAGACACTGGCCGCACAACACTCAAGACACTGGCCACACAACACTCAAGACACTGGCCACACAACACGCAAGACACTGGCCACACAACACGCAAGAAACTGGCCACACAACACTCAAGACACTGGCCACACAGCACTCAAGACACTGGCCACACAACACTCAAGACACTGGCCACACAACACTGAAGACACTGGCCACACAACACTCAAGACACTGGCCACACAACACTCAAGACACTGGCCACACAACACTCAAGACACTGGCCATACAACATTCAAAGCACCCTCCACACAACACTGAAGACACTGGCCACACAACACTCGAGACACTGGCCACACAACACTCAAGACACTGGCCGCACAACACTCAAGACACTGGCCACACAACACGCAAGACACTGGCCACACAGCACTCAAAACACTGGCCACGCAACACGCAAGACACTGGTCACACAGCACGCAAGACACTGGCCACGCAACGCTCAAGACACTGGCCACACAACACTGAAGACACTGGCCACACAACACTGAAGACACTGGCCACGCAACACTCAAGGCACTGGCCACACAACACTCAAGACACTAGCCACGCAACATTGAAGACACTGGCCACTCAACACTCAAGACACTGGCCACGCAACACTCGAGACACTGGCCACACAACACTGAAGACACTGGCCACACAACACTCAAGACACTGGCCGCACAACATGCAAGACAATGGCCACACAACACTCAAGACACTGGCCGCACAACACTCAAGACACTGGCCACACAGCACGCAAGACACTGGCCACGCAACGCTCAAGACACTGGCCACACAACACTGAAGACACTGGCCACACAACACCCAAGACACTGGCCACACAACACTCAAGACACTGGCCACACAACACTCAAGACACTGGCCACGCAACACGCAAGACACTGGCCACACAGCACGCAAGACACTGGCCACGCAACCCTCAAGACACTGGCCACACAACACTAAAGACACTGGCCACGCAACACCCAAGACACTGGCCTCACAGCACGCAAGGCACTGGCCACGCAACACTGAAGACACTGGCCACACAACACTGAAGACACTGGCCACACAACACTCAAGACACTGGCCACACAACATTCAAGACACTGGCCACGCAACACTCAAGACACTGGCCACGCAACACTCAAGGCACTGGCCACACAACACTCAAGACACTAGCCACGCAACATTGAAGACACTGGCCACGCAACACTCAAGACACTGGCCACGCAACACTCGAGACACTGGCCACACAACACTGAAGACACTGGCCACACAACACTCAAGACACTGGCCACACAACACTCAAGACACTGGCCACACAACACGCAAGACACTGGCCACACAACACTCAAGACACTGGCCGCACAACACTCAAGA